TCATATGGATGGGAGGGAAAGGCCACGTGTCCTGCAGTTTGACGTGACCTGTCTTTGGCACCAGTTTCACAAACTCAACGCTCGGCTCATACCAGACATCGTCGGGAAGGTATGCATTCACTTCTGTTTGATTCTGTTATACATTTGCGATAATTAACTTAATTTAATCATAAAATATAAATATTTACTTCAAACAGAAATGGCGAAAAGAGTACAACTGATCCCCACATAAACTGTTCGTCTATACCATAGGTTTGCGGATCAGTCGGGTATTCGTGAAACACAGGTCTGACAACAGTATTGCCCAATACGTGGGCTTTGAAGAAAAGGGTATATAAATAGGGAAGTAATTGATATCTGACACGAAGTGATTGTTTCGCCGCTTCAGTCACTTCCGGGTGTCCAATGTCTGCCCAAATGGCCGGGTCCTGAACATCACCGCCCCATCCGTTGTGATGGTTTCGACTGAACGGATAAAATGCTCCCAATTGTTGCCAACGACGACAAAGAGCTGGTGTAGTCTTATCATTGAAACCACAAATATCTGCCCCAACCTATTGGCGATAATTATTATTATAATTGCAAATATTTAAACTAAATCTACTTTTCAATACATAAGGAATGCCAAAGAGATTGAATTCCAACATTCCTATAACTGAGTCCTTCATATGAGACCATTTGCTTCGGTTGTCTCCCAACCAATGACCCGTGTATTGTCCCGACGATACAAATGTTGATCGCGATAATACATAACCTCTCTTTCCTGTTATCTCATTCAATGCCCTAATTATTAATTGAATATTTCAGCAAATTATTAAAATATTCAAAACTATTGTTATATAACTTTTGTGTGGGAATAGCCATCGATAGACCATACAAAGAGTGGACGTCATAGTGTTTGTATTGACCCGACTCTCCCTGCACTCCAATCATACAGAGTGTGGATCGACTCAACCGATCGAATCCATGGACCCAAAGGGCTTCTATAATGCAATCAGTATTTTGTTAATAACATTAATAAAAATAAAATTTATTTATAATTACGTTAGTAATGAATAAAGATATCCTTATAATAGCATACATAACACACCCGTGACTTACAATATGGGGCTAGGTGATAGTTTACATTATCCGAGTAAGTATAGGATAAATTGGTAAAGTGTAGAAACAAATTTACGTAATTAAAGGCATCAAAACAATCAATATTTGATAAAATTTTGATAATAAGTCAATAATAGCATACAATCCAAAGTGAACTAAATTTCCATCCAATAGAGTACAAGTGTTTGAAGTTATTTATCCACCAGTTTTGGGTCGCATTCTTCATGAAGTCGGGAAAGGCAACGGGTCCGGGAGGCCATACCCGCCCATACATGTCATCGTGAGTAACATCAATATTGTCCGGATTGTGTCTGTCTTTCATGGTAACAGATTTTGGCCATTTTATAAACACGTTTGCATTGTTTCCGTCCGTAAATATGGTATAATTAGTTTGGTTTCCTTCTTATGGGCCCAGATACTAACCTCAGGTTACCTCTAACATAAACGCAACTCAGAGTAGTTATTTAACTCCGTTTAGAAACTTCAATTGTCCCAGTTAACACTTTAGTGCGGGAGAAAGGAGAAACATGTCGCTATCAATATATTGGACGTCCTTTTCATATATCATAAGAAAAGTACTGTATTTACAAATTAGGATGAATTACAATCTTGTCTCACATATGGGATCTGATGTTTGATCTGTCGCTCGACAGTAGCCTTCACTTCATTCAAGTCCTTATAATTCCATTTCGATAACTGAAAGCCAAACGACCAAAACGATGGCATAAATGTGCGCCCAATCAGTGAAGTGTATAACTGTATGACGTGTTCGGGATTATCGCCGATAAACACAAAGAAATCCAATATTCCTCCGATTGTCTTCACAGACACCGCCGGCGCCGGCATTAGTGTGTATTCTGACGGATATTATTAGAAAATATACTTAAAATTAATTCAATATAAATTGACGGGAATATGAATACCCATAGCATTGCTGTTAAGTAATAGAATTCCGTGAGAATTGCCATTACTTTCGAGTACTGTATAGAAGGGGTGCTGACCGTAATTATTTTTCTCGTCATTCTATACATATATTTGTAAACATATATAAATAATTATTGAATAAATAATGTGATGATTCATACAGTTTCGGGTGCATTATCTTTGGTAAATATGGGCCAAGTCTTGTAATTCAAGTCATGTCTGAGAGACGGGTGAGTATTCTCTCCCAAACCGTACACATTATTTGACGGCAAATAACTTGATATTTGAATGAATTGATCGCTAAATATCAGACCTCCTANCACTTATGGTTAAATAGGATATGAATGAGCCTATTACATTTGATAGTGGATCGGGGTATAACATTCAGTGCCCACACAATACATACGATAATATTCCTATAGAAATAAGTAATGATTGCATTAATATTTATTATTTTATTTTTATTAATGTTATTAACAAAATACTGATTGCATTATAGAAGCCCTTTGGGTCCATGGATTCGATCGGTTGAGTCGATCCACACTCTGTATGATTGGAGTGCAGGGAGAGTCGGGTCAATACAAACACTATGACGTCCACTCTTTGTATGGTCTATCGATGGCTATTCCCACACAAAAGTTATATAACAATAGTTTTGAATATTTTAATAATTTGCTGAAATATTCAATTAATAATTAGGGCATTGAATGAGATAACAGGAAAGAGAGGTTATGTATTATCGCGATCAACATTTGTATCGTCGGGACAATACACGGGTCATTGGTTGGGAGACAACCGAAGCAAATGGTCTCATATGAAGGACTCAGTTATAGGAATGTTGGAATTCAATCTCTTTGGCATTCCTTATGTATTGAAAAGTAGATTTAGTTTAAATATTTGCAATTATAATAATAATTATCGCCAATAGGTTGGGGCAGATATTTGTGGTTTCAATGATAAGACTACACCAGCTCTTTGTCGTCGTTGGCAACAATTGGGAGCATTTTATCCGTTCAGTCGAAACCATCACAACGGATGGGGCGGTGATGTTCAGGACCCGGCCATTTGGGCAGACATTGGACACCCGGAAGTGACTGAAGCGGCTAAACAATCACTTCGTGTCAGATATCAATTACTTCCCTATTTATATACCCTTTTCTTCAAAGCCCACGTATTGGGCAATACTGTTGTCAGACCTCTGTTTCACGAATACCCGACTGATCCGCAAACCTATGGTATAGACGAGCAGTTTATGTGGGGATCAGTTGTACTCTTTTCGCCATTTCTTTATGAAGTAAATATTGATATATTAACAATATAATATTATGATTAAGTTAATTATCGCAAATGTATAACAGAATCAGACAGAAGTGAATGCATACCTTCCCGACGATGTCTGGTATGAGCCGAGCGTTGAGTTTGTGAAACTGGTGCCAAAGACAGGTCACGTCAAACTGCAGGACACGTGGCCTTTCCCTCCCATCCATATGAGAGGCGGTCATATTATACCCATTGCTTATACGCAAGCAATCAATACACAACAGTTAAGAGATAAACCCATTAGTATTGAAGTCTATCCGAAGAATAAGAGTGCGAAGGGAGACATGTATTGGGACGACGGCGACTCTCTCAACACTATTGAGACAAATCACTATAATTTCTATGAATTTGAATTGTTGTCCAACTGTTCCCTTCATATTGTGGTCAACACCAAAGGCTATACTTCAGAGAAACCGCACATAATTGAAAAGATTGCGATCGCAAACACATTGGACTCAAAGCTTAGCGCTTCTATCGATGGAAAACCCATTGAAAATATTGTTTCAAAAGACGACTCAACAATATTTCACGTAAATATTGATTTGAATTCAGGAAAAGTGGGGCAGAAATGGGTTATCGATTGGAAAACGGCTGACAATACCTGTAATTTGAAATAAACATTGTATTCATCTAAATATTTGTGATTTTAAAGAATTAGTCTTAACCTTTATTTTCAAACTATTGGCACAATATATCATTGCCTATGATTTTATTATGTGTACCAAATATTGACAACTATTATATAATATTAATTGAGGGTATTTTTGGCATTCATGACAGAAACTAATTTAATAAAATTCAGAGATTTACACTTAATTACAAACAATAATATTAATTAATGATTGTTTTAAAAGTATTAATTGTCACGAAAATTGTTAGACATGTTTTGATTATAGACATAATGAATGAATTAATTAATTAAAATCATTGATATTTGATTACAACCTTAATATTATGCTTAACGTAAGTTATTTAATTTGTATTTAATATAACTTACGTTATATTTAATCTAAAAAATTATTATTATTTCATTTAAAACTTTAATAACTAAATAAATTTGAAATCATTGTAACAAAACTTTACTTAATTTATTGAAAGCTGACGTCATTTGTGAGCTTCTCGTAAATCACATTTTGTGAGACAAAGGGATCGCAAAAATTGGTCATAAATTGTCACAAAAGAGATCCAAAGAGTGACGAAATGCCTGTCATTTCATCGAAACATTTGATTCCCGGAGACGTTGTCTTCAAATGCAAACCATTATTGCTTTGTATTGAATATAAATACAAAGGAAAACATTGCGATAATTGTCTCAAACTTACGGATCAGTTGAAGAGATGCTCGAAATGTCTTCAAATGTATTATTGCGGCAGAAATTGTCAGACAATCGACTGGTCTTTCCATAAGAATGAATGCAAAGCCTTCAGAGGAAAGACAATCAAAGAGTTGGACTCTATATGTCTGCCATTACTTCGACTCTATCTTCGGATCAAAAATGACAAAACATTTGCGACCGAAAGACACACTTTGTTTGACGGATCAGATGTTTGTCTCAATGATTTGAAAACCAAAGTCAATGTTAATAGTATTTCAGTGGAAATGATGGCATTGTTTGCGATAATATGCAAACAATTTCAAGTATTTGGCTTCAGTTTTGATGCCAAAGAACTTCTTCAATGGTATGGATTGATGAGTAAAACTCTTTTTTCTGATCCCATGTCTGAAGCACTGTATCTGCAAGTGTTGCCAATCAGTCATTCCTGTCTCCCAAACATGGCATTTGTCCGCAAAGGTATCTTTGAATTACATTTTGATGACAATCAATGAATTAATAGTAAATGTGATCAACAGATGACTCGTTGGAAATCCGTGTCATTAAGTCCGTAGCCATCGGCGAAGAGTTGACAATGTCTTGGATTGGACTCCATATGAATCGCAACCAAAGGCGCCAAGAATTGAACGTTTCTTTGACTGTCTGTCAGTGCCGTAAATGTAGACTACATTTGGATAAAGACATCGATTATGAAGACTTCAATCAACTATTGGATGAACAGAAGTATTATTGGATGCGAACCAAGTTTGCGATTCTTCGGCACCAATACATTGAATATCAAATGGACTCCAATTTCATGTTATATTTGGATGCAATGTATGGAGAGTTTCATCCGTTTGTCACTCAATGCCTTTTGGAGTCATTCATGTGTTTTGCAAACAATTCATCCAATCGTTCATTGATTAAGCTTTGGTTCAAACGTATTGAACGGCACGTATTGGTCACCCATGGATCAGACCATCCCTGGTATGCAATGCTTCGTAACATATTTACCGATTCACTGGACTTTTAATTATTTTCCTTTAAAATGCAATCATTGATCACAATATAAAACAAATTTTTAATTACAATTATTTAAAATTACTTTAAATATAATATTTTACCTGAAATTATGTGACATTTAATGAAAATTGAAAACAATTTGAATCAATGGATACTTTTATATTACAACAAATATGAAGAATATTACCGTATATTCTAATATAAAAATGCAAACAATTTGTATAATTATAATCATTTTATAAAATCATTTAATTTTTAATCCCATTTTTAAAAATATAATAATTTATAACTTTAATTAATACGGTATTATAAATAAGTGAAAATACGTTTGTTTTTTATTGACTACTTTTAATTAATATTTCGAAACTTTATACTTGTATTACAAAATAATCTTTAAATAAAATTACTTTTAATTACAAATTTATCATTTAAATTATTTTACAAATTTATTAAAAATTTAATTGTAATAAATTTTATAAAATATTAAATGTTAGCACTAGTTGTGAGAATGGAGTGAATTATGTGATAATAGTTATTGTTTGGGATATAATTTTAAGTTTGAATTTAATTTATATTTACACGGGATTTAAATTTTTAATAAATTAATGCTTTCAAATTTTTATTTGTGATGAAAATCACATTTTCATATCTTTTGTTAGACAAAGAGATTGGAAAAAGTGGTAATAAATTGTCACAAAAGAGATCCAAAGAGAGACCAAATGTCTGTTATATCGTCGAAACCATATTTATTGTATCGAAATTAAGTTTGAATTTATTATATTATATTTAATAATATTAATTAAAATTTCTTTAATATTAATTCAAAAAACAATTTCTATTAATTTCGACAATTTTGACGGCAAACTCAAACTTAACCTTAAAATCATTAAATTATCAATAGAATCAATATTACCCTAAGCATTATTAGAACTAATGTACATTTATATTACAATTATTGTGAAATGTGTTTAATTATTGTATTGTAATTATTAATAGTATATCGAAAGATGCCCTCGTACAATTTATATTACAGATATTATTTCTATTGATGCTTTAGTTATCATTGATTAATTATTACCATATTGTATAATAACACAAATACTGCACCTGTTTCTATATCTTTTATAAATTAGTTATTTATACGATTTGAGTTAAACCTTGTAGAGTCCATAGTGTTAGTGCAAACTGTACTCAAATATATATTTAAGTTTAATTGTTACTATGATTTAATTCAGTGGTTAATTAATTGAATTAAAAATTAAATTGGAGCTAAGATTAAAATTTAAATTTACAATAAATACAATTTTAGCTCATATTATACTTTTTCTCTCTGAACATAAGTTATGTTATAAATTATAATATAAATACATTTTCAAATTTTAAATAAACAGCATTTGATTAGTTTATAATTAATTTTTAAAGGCAATGTGATTAATGACAACGGTAATAAATGTTAATTTATTAGACTGCACTTTTAGGGCATCATTATAAATGTTGCTAGATCCTTATTTTGTAAAACTAATTATTTTTTAAACGTATAATTTTATAGTAAAATTAATTAATTATTTGTTTTATAAATAGATGCCCGAAAAGAGTGTTGTCATTGAATTGTTAAAAACTAAAAAATAAGTATAAATAGTGGACAAACTTTTGAATAGTTTATCAGTTGATAATTATCTGCAAAATGTTTGCATTCAAACTTGTCTTAGCGTTTGTATTGAGTTCGATATGTTATTCGGAAAATATCGGCTATAAAGTGGACACGACTTCAATCAAAGCAAATGATTTTGGTTTTGAAGCCTCACTTAAACTCAAAGATACGGCAAAACACAACATATTTGAAAAGTCCAAAGACTCGGAAAGACTGAAACTTTTGGTCACTTATTATACGGAAAATATCCTGAGATTCAAGATTTCGGACGCTTTCCACACGAGAGATGAATCGTCCCTTCAGTCAGACTTTCCGTTATTACGAAAACCATTGAAGAAAATTGACGAAAAGCTCAGGAAATATAGATTTAATTTAAATAACGATAATTTTAATATCGAAAGGAAAAATACCTCAACTAAACTGTATGTAGATATTTATAAACCATAAGTTTTTAAAGTATTTATTATTTGATAACAGATTTGACACATCGATCGGTGGTTTGAAATTTGACGATCAATTCAGTCAAATATCAAGTTATTTGCCGTCAAATAATGTGTATGGTTTGGGGGGTAAAACTCACTCGTCTCTCAGACATGACTTAAATAACAAGACGTGGGCCACCTATGGTCAGCACCCCTTCTATACTGTACTCGAAAACAATGGCAATTCTCACGGAGTTTTGTTACTTAATAACAATCCTAAGGGTATTCATAGTAAATGAAAACATATTGACTAAATTTAAAATACAATTTCTCATTATATCCGTCAGAATACACACTAATGCCGGCGCCGGCGGTGTCTGTGAAGACAATCGGAGGAATATTGGATTTCTTTGTGTTTATCGGCGATAATCCCGAACATGTCATACAGTCATACACTTCACTGATTGGTCGTCCGTTTTTGCCATCGTTTTGGGCGCTCGGCTTTCAGTTAGCGGAACAAAATTACAAGGATTTGAATGAATTGAATACTACAGTCCAGCGGGAGATTAAATCGGGAATCCCTTATGTGAGACATGCGTTCACTTAATGTTATTTGTATTAAAATATAATGTTTTATTTGATGACAGGATACCCAATATATCGATGGAAATTACAAAAATGAATGGGGACGCAATTTGGCATATGACCCTGTTAATTTTAAAAATCTGCCTCAATTAATATCAGAGACTAAGGCCAACAATAATCTCCACTGGACTCCAATCATAGGCTCCCGTATTGAGGGAAACGAAAATTATCGCAAATCTAGTGACGGAAAGAATGGCAATATATTTGTGGATATAATTAACTCGTTTACATCGACAGTGAGCCGTCTCATCGATCCGCTCAACCTTTTTGGCCATAAAGTGAATCCCAAATCGGTTTCCTCTTCTGATTTACTCAATAACCTGAAGAACTTGTATTCAAACGGAATTCAATTCGATTCACTCGCTATTGTAAGCTATGGTTATGTTATATGATTGCATTCAATGTGTGAAACGTGGGTTACTTTTCTAAAATCTGTCCCACATTTCACGCATTGTATTATAAAATGAATTTTGATTTAATTTATATATTTAACCAGGTAAACTTATTTTTAATTGTTGTTTTAATAGGATTCGGACGACTCAACACTGGCTATTCCCGCACGAAAGTAATTGATTAGTGTTTTATTTACTTTACAAAATATTAATAAATATCATAATTATAAATTAGGGCATTAACTGAAATAACGGGTAAAAGAGGTTATGTATTATCGCGATCAACATCTGTATCGTCGGGACAATACACGGGTCACTGGTTGGCGGACACACAAAGCACATGGTCTGAGATGAAGAACTCAGTGATAGGAATGTTAGAATACAATCTCTTCGGCATTCCTTATGTAATCAAAATTATATTCTTTGTACAGAATTTGCATTAATTATATTTGTTGTGAACCATAGGTTGGGGCAGATATTTGTGGTTTTGAAGGTAAGGCTTCGGCCGAACTCTGTCTTCGTTGGCTAGAATTGGGAGCATTTTATCCGTTGAGTCGAAGCAATCACAAGAGCTCTACCGGTGAATCACAAGATCCGTCCATTTGGGCCGATAGGGGACACCCGGATGTGGCGCTCGCCGCTAACATATCGCTTGAAGTCAGACATCAATTACTTCCCTATTTATATACCCTGTTCTTCAAAGCCCATGTATTGGGCAATACTGTCGCCAGACCTGTGTTTCACGAATACCCGACTGATCCGCAAACCTATGGTATAGACGAGCAGTTTATGTGGGGACCGGTTGTCATGTTTTCACCGATTCTTCGCGAAGTAATAACTTTTTAATTGCTTTTTATACTTAAATTAATTGTGACATATGTTTAACAGAATCAAACAGAAGTCAATACATACCTTCCCGACGACGTATGGTATGCGCCAAACGCTGAGTTCGTGTCATTGTTTCCACACAAGGGATACGTCAACCAAACCAATCCCTTTCCCTTCCCGCCCACTAATATGAGAGGCGGGTATATAATACCCATGGGTTACACCCAACCAATCAATTCGCAGGAGACCAGAGATAATCCCATCGCTGTTGAAGTCTATCCCAAGAATAAGACTGCGAAGGGAGACATGTTTTGGGACGACGGCGACTCTCTCAACAATATTGAGACAAAACAATACAATTTCTATGAGTTTGAATTATTCTCCAACTGTTCCCTTCATATTGTGGCCAAAACCAAAGGCTATACTTCAAAGAAACCGCATATCGTCGAAAAGTTTGCGATCGCAAACACAGTCAACTCAAATATAACGGCTTCCGTCAATGGAAAACCCGTTGCATTTGTTGAGTCGAGAGACGACTCGACATTCATTCACGCGAACCTCGATTTGAATGCCGGCAAAGAGGGCCAGACATGGGTTGTCGACTGGAAAACCGCTGACAACACCTGTAATTTGAATTAACTCTATTCGTATTTTTTCCAGAAATACATTCATATTTTCTCAAATATGAAATTTCAATATATGTTTAATTTGAATTGAAATAAAAGCATTTAACTTTTAAATAATACTTTACATTATTTACTTTAAATATAACTCAATTAAAACAGTAACTATTGATAAGACAATTCCGACGGCAAACGGTCCCAAAGCTATTATAACTTTGATAACAAACTTATTGTCCGATTCGGTGATAACGATGGGCTCTTCATTGCTGCCGTAGATATGAGAGGCGACTTCAACGATATCATCGGCCCATTTCTGGTATATCCCGGTCTCCAAAGCGCTGTAAACTCTTTAATGATTAAAATAATAATTACATTAAAAATATTAATACCAAAACACTATTAAATATCTAACATATCGTCATATTTTTGAGCCACAAATGGATCCAAATATTTACTGTAAACAAAGCCAACAAAATATTCGAGATATTTCTCTTGCGATATATGAGTGACTTTAGTTGTGGTCAAAGAGATTGCGTTTTCAATCATTTTGACGTGAGTTTGAGAGGCAATGAAAACATGGGTTTTGTTGAAAACAATTTGTACGCGAAGTGTCTTCTTCTGTGAGAACAGATTCGGAGCGTTTGATAAGATATCTTCGGGAGTATTGTTTAGACCTCTTTTCAGTAAATCAATCTCTGATTTTGTTCCCGATTTCTATTAATATTACAATTAAATACAAATATTTAAAAATACAAAAATAATGAATGTTACTTTTTATGCAAAAATTGAAAAATTACCAAAATTTGTGCAATTCTTTCGTCAGTGTAGTAAACAATTGGCAATAAATTGTAATTCGTATTCAAATCTTCTAATGAATCGATTACTGAATAAAATGTTTTAATAGTTGTGTAAAGTATTGTCGATGAAAATGCGTAAAGTATTATAGAAATCATTAAAATTAAAGTCCCATAACTTGTAAAATGTTTATTTCCCGAGAGATTTGCTGTTGAATAAGAATATTGTTAAATAATTTCATTTTTAAAAAGAAATTTTAAATTATATATTTTATTAAAACAATTACTTCCAAGAAATGATGTACTAATTAATAGCCAACTCATAGATCCATACATTTTGATAATATACTGATAATTAGCATAAATTATGTATTTGTTATTAATTAATATGAATACAAAAGGTATTAATATCAGTGTTAGTAATAAACACAACCAAATCTATAGATAAGATTTGTTTGATTTAGTGATAATTAATTTTGAATTAATTTTAAAAATCTTACAAATAAATCAAATATACGACAAGAGCTGCCAAATGAATCGTTTTGAATGATTGGATAAACACTGCTTAATATAGTAATCATTGGTTCCAAACGGATCCGTGGAGTAAGTCCTGTGAATGAGGCAATGGTTTGAGTGATAGGAGTGTCGACGAACACCATATCTGTCTCCTATTATTAATAAATCACAACTCAATTAAAATGTTTTTAAGTTGTGTTTTATTTACATTATTATAAAGCGCTGAATATAAGGGTCCAATCAATTCTCCATTAATTCTTACTCTACTATCACTGTTCACAAATATGGGAATTGCACTAAAATTTAACGATTTAATTAAATTATTTTTATAATTAAATTATAAACGAAAAGTTAGATATTAACTTATATTGAGTTCTTCGGATCAATTCCTTGATGACAAAGAAATATGGTGAACACAACGGCGCGTACATCGTACCCATTATCTATTCAATACATTTACAATACATTAGTATTTTATGATTTATAGACAATTTAGACAATTTATAGTTTTAAAAAATATTTGCATTAAATGTAATAAATAGTATAAAACATGAAATACCGCCCCATTGTATGTAAAACTGAAATTTCCTTTCGATTTGAATTCATAGCCAAAAGTTTGTGGTTTTCTCTCTTGAAAAGACTGATCGTAAAGACACTCACAATTCGCTGTCTTTTTATCCATGTTTCAATAACATATTTGAACCATGTACAGAAACTAATTTTAATAATTATAAATAATATTTTAAACAAGTTTATAGCAGGTCCTGGTAACCAGAATATAAATTATACAGCATATATTACATTTTTACATATTACACAATAACTTACATTGTAAATATTGTTTATGAAATATCTTGGGTTTATTCTTATTACTAGTTTCATAAATATCTTTTTATAATATAAGGAGATTTTAGTGATTATATTTCAACTCTGGAGTAATTAAAATCATATTTGACGTAAATATACTTTATTTATAAGTTATAAATTATAACAAAAGGAAAATGCCATATGTCCTATGATTTAATAATGAGCTTATAATTAGATAATTATACAATCAATTTCCTGAACATATAATTAAATTAAGTGCATAAATACTAATTATTTATAATTAGCATTAAATAATAAACAATTATAACTAATAAACGAAAGGAAAATGCTATATATTGTATGACGAGGTCAGAGAATAATGTTTACCCATAAAAGTCAATAAAATTACATAAAATACATGAAAACCTATGCCATCTTAGATAACGTGTTAAACATATCGATCGCTTAACGGATTCAATTACACACTAAAAGTCACACTTCATATTATACCTGGATTTGAGGGCAAAGGACTTGCATTCAGGCGCCAGACTATCATTTCTCCCGATATTCACGTACCAGAGCTTTACTATTGATTGTCTGAAGTGGATCTGTTCAGAGACTTTGTTCACTTTACTGCACAACTTATTTTTGTTGATTTTTTGTCTGTATTTTTGTGCTTTATTTACAAATAATCAATAATAAAATAATGTTAATTGTATTTCTGTTTATAAATTAATAATTATATAAAGTTAATAATTAGCGGAGGGATCAAACACCGGGGAACAGGTTCGGTAAGTGTTGGCACATTACTTGTGCTCAGCCGCGCGTTTTATTGTAATACTTTACAAATAACCGAAAGTTTACAATGAGTTATGTTTAGGTAAATATTTTTTTGTAGTAATGGTTATGAAAAATTTATTGTAATTCTTAAATATTCAAATAATTAAGTCATTAATTATGGTATTAAAACATTTTCAATGTACAATTTTAATAAAAGCATTTCTTAATGATTGAATAACAAAACATTTCTTACATGAATTGTTTTTAAGTTAAAATAAGCATTCATTTGAAGTGAATTAGTTAAAAATTTACATCATTTTTAAAAATTGTTTATAAAATAAATTCGTTTGAATTAATTTCTCTCAATTTCGGACATTTCTCAATAACTCTCTTAAATTCACGCTTTTTGTATTCTTCGGTCAAATTCATTGCAAATATATTCAATGTCTGAAGTGATGCGAGTCTTGAAACACATGCCAACCATTTCTTGTCGATTGTGTTGTTGTAATTAACAGACAGTGATTGCAAGTTGTGTTGTGCGGACACAATCTCTTCAATCAATTCTTGTCGAAAATCCCAAAAACCAATATATAATTGTCTCAATTGTGGCCAACGATTCAATGGCTCTAATTTAGGCCAATATGTGTCCACTTTTTCCTCGTAAAAGCTATCGTTTACTTTGAGCCACAGATGAAGACGTTTTAAACGCCGCATGAATTGAATGCAATTCATTATCTCTACTTTCAAAGCCGTGTCCTTTGATTGGACTTTCAATGAAAACATTTTCAGTTTCAAACACTTTAAACCAATTGTCTTCAAATTCTGGTGAAGTGAATACTCGAAACAATCGTCAAAATCAATGTCTAATTCTTTCAATTCTCGGAATTGCGATAATTGTGTCAAGAATTGTAAGATCTTTGGCTTCGAGTCGTCCGATATGTCCGTCACATTCACTCGAATGCACTGAAGACGAGATCCATAGTAATCGACAAATACTGCGAATCGATTGTAATTGTATTCACTTTCAGTCCAAATGAACTCAAATTTTTTCAACCCATTGAATCTCATAAAGTGATTGTCATTTACGGTAAACATTAAATCAAATGTTGTGATCACTAATTGAGACACATTTGGGAAATATTCTTCATTTGGGATCACTTGTGGCGAATCGATAACCAAATACGAAACCATTGAACCAAATGGTGATAATATTTGAAAGACTTGTTTTTCTAACAACAAATCGCGAAATTGAAGACATTTAAGTTGTGGCCAATCGTTGGCCAACCGATACATCACTTGCAATATCTGTCGGCCGTAATAATCGTCAGTTTCATTGAAATGCCATACGATTTGAATCTTAGGACACTTTCGCTGAAGAAATTTAATCAATTTGTAAAACAAGTGTTTGGCCGACAGAACCGGGTCTTGAGCTTTGAATCTGTCAATCATATCGTCGTCGATATCCAACTCATAGATGGTGTCATAAATGCATCGCTGGAACTGCTTTGACACGCATTCGTGTCGGGATCTGCTCTCAAAGCCGTCAAACTCTTCGTCGTATGAATGATATGACAGTAAAAGTCGGACCAAATCGTCGCCGAAGCGGTCGAAGGAGTCTTTGGCGTAGATTTGAGTCTATATTTAAGGGACAATGCGTTTGAATGTGTGTTACGAATGTATATTCAATTGATTACCTCTTGAGTACTGATGGTGTGATTCCTCCGGTTTTGTTGATATAGTCTTCGGCACCAATGACTGAATCGTGTCATTGTTTTGTATGCAAACACTCGTTAATAATGAATGTATTTCTCAATTCATTGACATTAACACCAAAACTATATTGATTTCAATGAGAAGGCAATCATTAAATCAAATCATAAACAATGTTATGATTGGAGGCAAACGTTTGACTCACAAAACACTGACAATAAGTTTGCAGTTTGTGTTATGCAGTGAACATCTAATGCACTCAACATGTAATGCATGCAAATAATTATACACTACAGTATATTCAATGTATTCATAAAGTTTTAAATACAATTTATTAATCATAAACAATAAGTTAAGACACAATTAACTCCATAATAAAACATATAAATGCGATGACAATAGCCATGAGATAGGGTCCGAGCGCTGGTCTCCATTTGACCACATATTCATCAAATTCATAATCAATTTCATCGATCATCTCTTCGTCGGGATTAGCGAAGAATTTCGCCGCCCTTTCCATTATCACTGACACAAACTTATCGTGTATTCCCGTCTCAATCACATCGTATAGTCTGCAAATTGGATGCAATTTTATCAATTGATCATGGTCATATTACACTATTCATTTAATTAGTCTTACATTTGGTTATATTTGTGGCCAATAAATGGATCCAAATGTTTGCTACAAACACACCCTTCGAGACTATAGATATAGCTCTGGGAACTAATGTGTGACAATTTGTGACCAATAATTGATGTCTGGATGAGCTTTGAGTGACCAAATTGTGATATAATTACGTGATTCCTATTCACAATGATTTTCTTATAAATGTCTCGTTTATTAGATAGTAATCTGATTTCATCGGTAACTATGTCTTCGTCTGTATTATTAAAACCTCTGTTTATCAGCTCTTTCTCTAATTTAGTTCCCGATCTCTGTATGAATTAAAATTATTATCATTTTTAATAATATTAATAAATAGTTTTAAAATTTTACATTTATTAAACTCAAACTCTCATATGAATAGTGAACCAATGGTTTTATATCCTTTCTATCGTTCAAATCATCGATTGAATCAATTAAAGTGAACGGAGTATTGATTATTGTCGACAGTATTGCTGATGAAAATGACGCCAATATTAGGATTATGAATAGTGAACCAATGGTTTTATATCCTTTCTATCGTTCAAATCATCGATTGAATCAATTAAAGTGAACGGAGTATTGATTATTGTCGACAGTATTGCTGATGAAAATGACGCCAATATTAGGAAATTTAATAATATATTCAATGAATACAATGAAACGTGATTTTTCTTTTCCGATTCCTTAAGTTTTACTGTAAAACAATTTATAAATCACATGAAAATTGAATATATAATTTACTTCCTAAATATGAAGAGCCGAAAAATTTCCAAATCATTTCATAATAATAACCAAACGATATGTTTTCAAATGAAAGTTCTTTGGTTTTCAATACGAAAACTAACGGCAAAAATAGTATTGAAATCAAAACACAAATCCAAATCTAATCAATTAAATTTGTTAATAAATTAAACTAATTTATAGTCAATTAATTTAAATATAAATCAATTAAGAATACAAACGTATGGATCAAATATGTAAAGAGCGGTCGTATAAGAATCAGAAGTAGTGAAGGGATATATGGATCCAATTATAGAGATGAGTGGTTGGACTTTAAGCTGTGGACTCATATGAGTAAATGTGCCGATCGTTTCAGTGACCGGCGAATTGTCGGTCAAAAATAATTGACTTTTCTGTTCGGTTAGAAATGAAATACAAATTTAATATAAGATTCAATGAATTTATCGGAGAAATACATTATTATAAAGTAATGCAATATAAGGTCCGATGTGTTGACCATTTACTACTGACAATGTGTCCGATTCTGCAAATATCGGAATCGCTCTGCAATTTAAACTCAATGTTAACTTCGGTTATGATTTGTATATTTAATTGCATTTAATGTCTTAAGAAATTATAAAACTGACGCAAATTGAGTCCTTTTAACCAATTCTTTGATTATAAAGAGAAACGGAGAGCAGAGATGAGCCATAAATGCGTCCTTTAGCTACAGTACATAATCATTAAAATAAATATTGAGTTAAACATTAAATATTTGACCAAGGAGATAATATTTAATTTCTAATTATGAAAATGTATTACTGCTCCGCGATATGTGAAAGTGATGTTTCCCTTAACTTCAAAATCATATCCAAAACTTTGCGGTCTTTCATCCGTGAGAAGCGAGCCGTCAATGCATTCACTATTTGCTGATTTGGCTATTACTGACATTTTGGGCTAAATATTTACAAATTAAGTAAATTTTTAATTTGAATATAAGTTTTCTCTCATATATAAGTTTTCATTAAATCTATTGACATCTTATAACACCAAAATGTATTGAGATTTAAGCATAAAAATGCATTTATAATTGCCAACAATTTGTTGGGTGCAATGTTTGCAACATTAATAATTTCATAATTATAATGAATTAATTTTATGTGAAATAACATTAATTATAATATTTAGAATTTAGTTATAAAGAGAAACAAAAATATCAGCACATATTAAAAGAAAGTTAATTATTATTGATTAGAATTATATTTAGAAAACTATAAATAACCCATAATTATTATCTGCCCATAGATAATATGTTAATTTAGTAATAAATAATTGCTAAATAAAAGTACCCTGAACTTAAAGTATTTTAATTAAAAATATGATAAATTTTAATTTAATAAAAACTATTTTAATTTATGAATAAATAATGAATAATAAAATCACATTTTGGTATTACAGCAAAAAACTGAAGTAAAGTATTGCTAACAAAAAGTTTGAAACAAACCGTAAACTAACTCAAAAAAGGGTCACAAAAAACGGTGCTTTCATTCAAAGCTGGGATTCGTTTGAAAGTCTCATCCATTGAAGCATTGATTGAATCGTGAAATCAATTCAATTGATTGTCACTGAAGTGGATGTGAAGTAAGCGTTGAATGACTTTACGATAACTACTTTTTTGATCCAAACTTTAATTCAAACCCAAAATAGACCACAAAATGGTTAAAAGACGCAAAAGCTATCCACAAATGCCGACACCAAAGACCAGAAAAATGGACGCAAAGACTGCGGACAACGCGCCCGAAGGCGGCACCGGAGACGAGTCGACAGTGATTGTGGTGACCGACGAAGACATGATCATAAAGTGTCCGCAATTATATTTGTCCGATCAGTTCGCCGACATTGTCATCAAAGTGGGCAATGAGTTGTTTCCGTGCCATAAACTGGTCCTCCGATCGCAGTCACTATTCTTCGACAGACTCTTCGCGACTGAAAGCCAGGAATCGACTCAAAAACAACTCGAACTCAAGGATATGATTCCGCGTGTCTTTCGTTTACTCCTTCAGCTCCTCTACACCTCACGTCTCGATCTTAATGGCCTGAAGCCGGCCGATGTCATCGCACTCTTTGGTCTC